TAAGGTTGTATTTGGTTATAGTTCTGAAATAGTATTATTAATGAAATAAAATGGAAAAGAAAATTGACGGATTTATTTGATTGTAGTTTTGAAAATATTATGAAATTTAACGCAATTATTTTTAGTTCGACAAAATTTTTAAATATTTACTATTCATTAATTTTTTTTTTACTCTTATGAATATAATTAAAAGAATTAAACAATAAAATAAGTATTTTAAACAAATAGCTCGCAGACGAAACGAATATAGAGTCCGTTTAGTTCGCCGATTCGAGTTGAGATGTGATTTTATGTGAGAGCTTTTTACTGTAGTAAAAAAGTTAGATGTGACTGTTTCTAAGAGCTTTTTACTGTAGTAAAACTCGAATCGGTGAAATGAACGAGACCATAAAGCTTATGGGTTGAAAGAGGCCAATGGTTGAGGATGTCGGCGGAGGAGCTCAATGTCGGTGAGGATTGTGAAAGTTGAAGGAGAGTGGCGAATTTGGGAAGGTGGAGGATTGGATCATCGGAAAGAAGAGGAGAGCGACAATGGTGGTTTGGATAAGGAAGGATCTGGATGGTAATGGGGGCTGAGGAAGGAGTTGAGAGAAGGTGGTGGCGTTAAAAAGACAACAATAGAAAATTTTGGAAAAACAAAAAATTAAAATGACTATTCCTCTCACTTAAAAGAGGAATAACGCCTAATACTTTGGGTTTAGTAGCAACGAGGGATTTGAGTGGGGTGTAATTTAGAAAAAAAAAAAAGTTGCAAATTTAATTCCGTACGTGTTATATTAAAAAAAAAGGCGATTCAACTAAAATGGTGGAGAGTGGATTCTTTATAATGTTTATTCCTTGTATAAAAACTATCCAAAAACATTATTTAAGCCTCCTTACTTTTTTTTAAAAATTGCCTTTACCCCTACAAAACACACTTTAAAGGCATGTTTATTAAACCGTAAAAAAATGTAATGAGAAACATAGTGAGATTGGAAAGAAAAGTAAAGTAATAAGATTAAGAATCACTCATTTCTTATCAAGTGTTTACTTGACTATTATATGGTGTAATAAAAAACAATTTCATTCTATTTCTTATGTTTACTAAAATTAGGAATATCAGTGTTATAAATGTAATTCCTAAAATGTTCTTTTACACCATTTGATAACTATTGACTCTATATATATAGTAATTCATTAATGGTAGATAAGTAAATTTAATATTCATTCTCTTTGACAATAAATCAATACTAAAGTGAGTGCAAGGATTAGTACTACATTTTCTCATTCCCTATATTGTGTGGGGTCTACTAAATCTTTATTACTAATTTTATAAATAAATATATTATTATATAGAAAAAGGGAATCAATCTCCGCTTTCGTTTTCTTTTGATGTAAAGTAAACATGTCCTAAATGTATATCTAGACGGAGTCATTTGGGTCTCATAAAGAAAAACTTTGAAATGTTATAGCATTCATATATCCTGAAAAATAAAGAGTCACTACGCCTCTTAAGAGCTTAGATTTTTATGTTATTATTTTATTTTTTTATAAGATTTTAAAACTTAAGTTGCTCAAGGAGAGACGTGCTTCAAGAGGACGATGTATTTTTTCCTGGCCTTGATAGATCATTGTCCTTTGTGTATAGAGAAATACTTAACATCAATGTTTCTGTCATTTTTTTTGTCATTTTCTGCATTTATTCTCTGACACGTTAATTCAAAGCATCTTATTTTTTTATTTAAATAGTAATATATTATGTTAGTGGAGTCTATGTGTCAAAAAGTAACAAAAAGAATGATGCTAACATTTTTTTATTTATTTTTAAGCGTTGTTTACCATGGTTGTCTATTAGGGATGTTTTTAAGGTTTCTTTTGGTTTCATCTTTATTATCAATTTGCCCAATAATTGATAATTCCTTGTAGCTTCACCTAGGTTCCTTCCAATTTCTTTGAATTTCTAGTGTAACTGTTTTCATGAGGTAGAAGATATTGGTGGGATGTATTTAGGGTAATTGCATAATAGTTTTAAGATTTCGAAAAAGAAAAAATTAGGTAAATAACTGTTTTTGGACTACCTTTTATTTTTTAAATAAGTGGCAGAACTTTTAATAAATGGCCGAACTTTTTATTTTTTAAATAAGTGGCTGAACTTTTAAATGAGTGGTCAGATCTGCAGCAAGAGCGTTCAGTGTGACATATCGTAAATTTTTAATATAGTCATGCACAAATCTAATTGTTAAAAAATTAAACTAACATTAAAAATGAGATTTGGTGGATTTTTTTTTGAGTCTCACAGTAATGAATGCCTTCTTTTTCAAGAAAAATGGTTTGTAGGCATTAATAAATGGTTGATAGGCTGAACAATTAGATGCAGTCAAATGATTTGTCATCAAGTCAATAAATAAACGACAGTTAAGGCATTGTTCATTTTATAACTTAAGTCATAATTTAAGTTTTATTGTTACAATGTTTTTCTCATAAAAATTTAAATTCATTTTTTTATTACAATATTTTTCTCTCACATACACAACTCAAGTCATAACTCAAGTTATGACTTGAGTTGTGAAATGAACACACCCTGCAATGTTTAAACATTTATTAATATCGGTCAATAAATTAGTCAATTAGGCATTGATCACCAAGTGATCAATCACTATAATTAATCATTTTTAAGAAATAGTATTTTCTAATATAAAACTTGAGTTTTGAAAGTTTTATAAGCATTAACTTTTAACTGATGTGACAATTAAATTTTGAATGATGTGGCAATTAACTTTTAACGTGGCATAATTTGATTTGTAAGAGAACAAAAGGGACGACTGGAATTTTTTTTAGCAACAGATCTCAACTCTTTGGGAGATAATTATTTATCGTTCCTAGCTCTGTCAATAAATATGTATGTATATATAAATATGTATGTATATATATATAGATATATATATAATATTATATATATCACAGAAAGCACAAGAAAGCGATATATGTAATATTATATATATATATAATATTACAATATATATATATATAATATTACAATATATATGTGATATATATAATATGTGTGTGTATATATATATATATAGTTATGTAGACACGACGCGCGCGTAGTGGAGTATATGCATGTAAGTCACGGACGTACGTATTGCCTTGTCAAACGGGAGAGGCATGCACTCTGAACTTCTAGAGGGTCTTGCGTGCTTTCGATTTTTGTATGCTACTGCAATTAATATTCAAGTTATTCTTTCCACCTTAATTTGACTTTTATTTGAGTGAGTTGTGACTTCCTGTTCTTATTATCAGTTCATCCTCTGCTCGGTTTCTTTACCAAAAACTCTGCGTTTGTCCGTTTGATCTATAAATTTGAATGGAAATTTAATTTTTAGAAGTGAAAAAAATTATATTGAGAAGTAGACAGAGACTTAAGTCTCGTTCGTTTCGCTAGTTCGAGTTTTTAACTTAGTAGAAAAGTGAATTTATGTGAAAAAAAATATTGTAATATAAATTTAAATTTTTGTGAAATAAAATGTTGTAGTAAAAATTTGAGTTGCGATTCAAATTATTAATGAAAGAAGTCTTAATTCGTCCTAGCAAGAAGAAAACTCTCTCCTTGGCTTGGTTTTTCGAGGCTCGTGACGATTAATATGACTAACCATTTTTCTTTTTCTTTCGACTTTCTGAGAAAAGACATGTTAATTACCAAGAACTCCGTGAATGACATTAGTGGTAGGGGGAAGAAAACACTCCTTATTTTTGTCCTAGTTAATTGTGAGGATCTTTAATAATTAGGACTGATAATTTCTCTTTCTTTCAACTTTACAAAAAGTATTTGATCAGTAATCATGTCGCTCGCAATATTAATAGGAAAATTAGGTTAGACGCATTATAAGTAATTTGCTTGCAAAATATTGCCAAATTTACTATACCGTATATATGCACAGTACTGGTTATTAGTTGATATTTTTTGTAGCAAAAACTAGCTAGCACATATAAGTACTATACAATATAGTTATTGTTTTTGGCATGCACGGACAACTTACTAACACAAATATAAATATATACAAATAAAAATTATGTTTGGGAAATCTATATTTTTATGACCTGCATTTTGAGGTTGTTAAAAAAATTATACCTAGCGTTTTAGCCTGTTGCACTTTTTATCTTTTTGAATTGTCAATTTATGCTCACCTTAATTTCTCTTCCGACCACCCATTTTTGACATGTAAAATTCTAAAAATATCTTAAATAAGAAATCATTAATCTGATAGAAGTAATATGTCATTAATCAGAAAGGGTTCAAAAGAGTTAGAATTTCACAGGTCAAAGTTGTAAATAGTTTACGGAGAAACGCTATGAATTGGCATGATGAAAGATCAAAGTGCAATAGTTCCAAATATATGTCAGCTTGTTTAACAACCTCAAAAGAAAGGGTATATAAAAATGTATGTGTATGTGTGTGTTTGTGTATATATATATATATTATATTTTTTTTTTTTTGGACGACAAGTATATATTGGGGTCTCTCTGTTTTTTTTTGGTCTTTTTCTTTTCAACTAAATATCCAAATTAGTCTTACAAATGTGGACTTAAGTCGGCAATAATAGAACCAAGAACAGATTAAGATAAATTAGTTTTTGCAAACACATCATCACTATTAATTGACAATTAAATAAGACGTAATTAAGTAAGCTAGAAATTTGTATCACAGAAGCACTACGTTCATCCGCTCTTTAAAACAAATAAACAACATATAAAAATTAAAAAGCTACCATCCAGTCAGATAAGAAGAAATTTCCTCTTAATTTCTAGGGCAAGACTATATTTAAACGTTCCTTTCACGTTGTACATGCAGTAAATAAACGAGCTAGTATGAAAATGAGAAATATTGGTTTACATTGTTGTTTTGTACCAACTTCTAATTTGTGTATATATAAAGGCATGCAAAGAGTAGCCAAAACACAACACAACCAAATTAATTACTCAATATCTTCCATATCTTGCTAAAGTATAAATTAACCAAAATGGCCCCAAAAATCTCAACTTTGAGATCAATTATTTTGCTTCTATTAGCATTAATGCTCTCTTTAGTCACAAATATCCAATCCAAACCAAGCAAACAGAACGCCTTTGAGTTTATCAACAACGTGAAGGGATGCCATAAGGGCCAAAACGTCTCCGGACTCCACCACCTCAAGCAATATCTTGAGAACTTTGGCTACTTGCACAACGATGACGTCGTTCATCGCAACCACAAACACGATAACAACGTCGTCGCCAACAACCACGCCAACAACGACGTTTTCGACGACGCCTTAGAGTCCGCCGTCAAATCCTACCAAAGGAACTTCCACCTCGAAGTCACCGGAACCCTAGACTCCGCAACAGTGAAGCAGATGACCATGCCAAGATGTGGGATCCCGGATGTCATAAACAACAACAACACCAAGAAGTCAACCTCTTCTGATAAAAAAGTATACAAAAATCGCAAGCTCATAAACTTTGTCTCTCACTACTCTTTCTTCCAAGGAAACCCTCGTTGGCAAAAATCCCGCTTGACTTACCGCTTCCGTTCGAGCGCATCGGCGGCGCCCGGGATGGAGAACGTAAGGTCCGCCTGCGCAAGTGCGTTCCAGAAGTGGGCACGTGTGAGCCACTTCACGTTTGAGGAAGTGTCGTCTAGTTCACAGGCAGATATTGAGATCGGATTCCACGGCGGCAACCACGGGGACAACTATCCGTTCGACGGGTTCGGGGGGACTCTGGCCCACGCCTTTGCGCCGAGCCGCGGGTGGCTCCATTTCGACGCCGACGAGTCTTGGAGCGTGAACCCGGGTCGGAACCAGGTGGACTTGGAATCTGTTGCGGTGCATGAGATAGGGCACGTTCTTGGTCTCGGTCACGAGCCCAACATTCCTAATGCGATCATGTATCCGACCTTTTCCTATGGGGCGACCAAGAGGGATTTGCATGAAGATGATGTGAGAGGAATACGTGCTTTGTATGGTTTGAATTGATTGGATATTGGATATTATAGGTTATATATATATATATATATATATATATATGCTAGTTAAGAGTATTGGCTTAAAATACTCCCCATATAATATATAATAACTTTCTATGATGTTCTCTACTTTTTAGAAATACTATTGTTTTATATTTATCACCTGTAAAATTTGTTTTAAATTTAATCAAAAGTTAAATTAAATTAAAAAAGTAATATATATTTAACTGTTGATGAACATGGAACACTAGTGTTTAAAAAAAAAAAAAGAGAATACTGAAAAAATTCTCTATATATAATCATACATAATATAGCGAATAAAGGCCGATCATAGTGTCGAAGTGATTATGGTTTAAAATGTACCAAAACCCTTTATAGGTTTGCGTTTATTGTTCAAAATTATATGAAAGAAGATTAATGCTCAATATCTGGCGTTCAACAAAACTTTAGTGGAATGAAAGAAATAAAGTGATCCACAACAAGATTTCAAAGTTGAACCATCTTTAGTGTGTTTGGTCTTCTAAGACCTCGTTTATTTTGTTGATTCAAATTGAGAACTTGAATTGAAATGTGTATTCATTTGAGAGAAAACAATGTAGAAAAAAAAAGTTGAGAAATAAAGTGGTCCACAACAAGATTTCTAAGTTGAACCATCTTCTGCCTGCTTGGTCATCTAATTAGGCATCGTTCTTTTTATTGATTCGAGTTGAGAATTTGAGTTAAAAAGTGAATTATCATATGAGAGAAAACACTCTAAAAAAAAGGTTGAATTTGAATTTTTATGAGGTAAAACACTTTAACAAAAATTTGAGGTGAAATTTGATGTAACAAAACAACATGCCTTAATTTTCTTGCAGAATTTCAATCAGTCAGAATGAAAATTTCTCTGCTTTCTTGACTTGCTAAGTCTCTGTCAAGGTTTGGTTTCTTCCAGATCCTACCCATTATAAAATCAATGTTAACCACATGGGGGTGAACCCAAATTATATTAATTAATTGGCTGCTCTAGCTATCAATTTTGGCAAGCTTTGAAGCCTTAGCTCTCATTACCAGACTAATGGGCAACATATTGGCCTGCCCCTACAAAATATTTATAGTCGTGAGATTCCCTTGAAGTTATCCAAGCAGTACTTAGCAATTGTATTCAGGATTTTTTTCAGCTGAACTTTGGGATTCAAAATATCTGAACCAAGTTAACAAATGTCCTAGAAAAGTTTGAAATGTTGTTCTTTTGAAGTGTAACTTGAGTGTAGTTTTTGAGTTGAATTTGAGTTATAACTTGAGTTGAAGTTGTAACTTGAATAAAGTTGAGTAAAGTTAAATAAAGTTGGAACTTAAAAGAACGTAAACTTGAATAAAGTTGTAACTTAAATTTAAACTTTTTCTGAGTTTTGTTACAAAAGAATAACCCCTTTTGTTTGAAGTTTCGGTTCAAAACAATAAAAATAAAATAAAAGGGCCGAGGTGTAAACTCAAAATAACTCTTAAGGTTTTTAATTTAGTTCAAAACATCAAATCCTTATTTTAAATCAAGTCTCAAAAAGTTTTACCAAACGCTGGTTTAACACAACTTTTTTGGTTTAAACCTGTAAACGACACCCATATTAATAAGTAAAATCTTTATTAAAATGAAAAAAAAAGTCTTAGGACAAAGAAAACCAAAAAATAGTGCAAAAAAAAAAAGGCAACCTATAAGGAAAAAAATCCAAGAGTGCGTTTGGAACTTGTTCTAAAATGATTTTATTTTTTGTATGAAATGGAAATGAAAACATTTTCAATCTCAGACAGAAATCATTTTTGAAAATGCATTTGGTAGTTTTATCAAGAAATTATTTTCAGTATAAAAAAACTCATTAATGTTTCTTTTTGCTCGAAAGAGGAGAAAACGAAAATAAAAAATAAAAAACAACTAAAAGTCGTTTTTCATTTCTCTCATATTTTACACCAAACTAAAAATTGTTTTCATTTCCGTTTTTTGTCTTTAATTGTGCCAAACGCCGTTTTAAAATCGTTTTTATTTTTATTTTTTTGAAAAACATGAAAAACAAAAACAAAGGACCATTCCAAACATTTTCTCATTTTAAGATTCAAAGAATTTGATTGAGGGTACATGCCTCCAGTCTATTATTCTAAGAAACCTTGTATGTTTTTTTTGTTTTGTTTTGTTTTTTGGTTTTTTTTGCTAAAATGAGAATTTCACTCAAAGCCAACAAAAAAAAAAAAAAAAACAGGCAAACAGAACAAAAGTAACGGAAACTTGTCTGTAACGGAATTTCACTCAAACCTTGTTTCTATTAGTTGGTCGTGTGATGTGATGGAAACTTAATTAAAAAATTGAACAATAAAACTAAAAGGGAATTATTTTTACAACTGTGTGGTTTAAAGTATAGTTCAAACTAATATTTAGATATGCGATTAAAGTTTAAATCTGAATAGGGGAATGAAATCTAAATTTGTGATTGGTAGGTGTGAAAATTAGAGAGAATTGACATCTTTTTATTGTTCAAAATAGTTTGAACAGTTTAAATTCATGTTTGGTAAGCACACGGTCCAAATAGTTTGAAACAGTTTAAATCGGATAGCTTAACTCAATTTGAATCAGAAATATAATTTGGACCGTGTGCTTACCAAACATGAATTTAAACTTGATTTATTGAATTGAGTCGAATTGAGCTAAATTTGTGAAACAAACATATCAAAAATTATGTAAATCACTCAATCGATTAACTCTTACGCATAATTGATGTCACATTTGGCTCATAATTAAATTCAAATTGTATTGATTTGAACTGAAAATTTAAGTTGTATAATTTAAATTGTAATTTTAACTGTGTAATTAAAGTATAAAACTAAATAAGAAATAAAATATGAATGTTTGTTTGGATATTTGCAGAGAACAGAGTGACTGACATGATTTTTACTATTCAAAATAGCCCAAAAAGAGGAGAGGTAATTGAACAGTTAAAGCTGACTTAAACTCACAGTGAGATGCTTATAGAGCTCAAATTATTGATTAACAAAAAGTGTTCAAGCATCACTCACCATTTGAATTGAGTTGAGCTTTAGTCTACTCTGTTAAGGGTGTTTGGTATGAGAATTCGTGTCATAATTCGTGGCTCGCTATAATATTTTTTTTCATAAAAAATACACGAGAATGATTCGAACTATGACACTAATATTCATACCAAATACTCTACCATCTATTGAAATACGGGAGAGAGTTGGATAAGCTTCTATTTGTCTAAGACTAATTTCGTAAACGTCTAATTTTGTATTCTAATTCAACATGCTTAATAAATTTTAAAAAGAATTCATTTCACATTCTTAACTATGCACTCTATTTTAAAGTGCCACGTATCTTAAATTGCTATCTCATATTATTTATTTATTTTTTCAGATAAATCTCATTTTATTTAGCAAAGAGAGAAAATAATGTTATCTCGTATTTAATAAAGGAAAAAGAAAATTTAAGCCGTAAGAACTTTTCAACATGGAAACAATAATTTTTATTTGAAATAGCCAGGCTATAAATCTCCATATCAATTAAATTGATTCTTTCGAGTATTATTTTACTGTCGTTTTCTTATTTGTTGTCGTTTATTGCTTTTTTTATTATTGTTGTTGAATATTTATGTTAAGTCGTTTTCCGTTTTTCTCATTATTCAATGTTCTTGTCGTCTTATCTATTGATGTCGTTTTTTGTTCTGGTATGTTGTGTTCTTGGTTATCGTCGTTTTCTCAGTGCATAACACTTCTCATTTCTCAATTTGTTATCGTCACTTTCCAAAATCTCGTCTAATCTCTCTTATCCTTCGTCTATATATATACCCTCTCATATCCAAAGCGTGGGAGAAGCCCCTACCTCCGTCCTTTCCCGCCAAAGAGAAAGAGGAAAAAGAGAGAGAATGAGCGAAAACCAAATGCTTCAGAAAGAAGCTTCGCGATCTTCAAAGCCTACCAGAATCAAGAAGAAATTCAGTGCTAGAACTTTGATCTTCGATTCATCTCCTGAGCTTTCTAAGCAGAGTCGCAATGGAGACGACATTGCCAATGTAAGGCTTGCATTTTGATCTTATTTCTAGGACTACTTGTCCTTCGAATTTTGCACTTCGATCTGAAAATTCTGTTCGAATTTTGGTAGCTTTTATGTGCTTCCGATGTGAAATGTGGATTATTCCTTGCGAATATTTGATTTCGGTTGACAAAATAAAGAACAGAACGAATAACCGATTTTCTTGCGTTGATTTTGATTTTGCTCCATCTGATTCCAAAAGCATTTCTGTTTGTTTACCGAAAAAGAAAACGCAGGGAAGTGAAATTGAGTAGCGGAAATTGATTATAGTTGATTCGACTTTGAAATTCTCGAGTTGTTCCTTTCTGTTTCGTAGAGCATCACGCGTAGTCTGCCTGATTCAGATCTATCAGTTTCACCTGAAAGCTCGCTTCACTCCGAGCTAACTCAGTCGTCGGAAGTCAAATTAGACCTCGTCTCCGAAGCCGTTGGCGATTCGACAAGCGTTAACTCCATGGAGGCTGAGATCGTCATTGGTCTTCTCAGGAAAGCCGTGTCTCAGGTGTTGAACTCCCCAGACATGGCGGATTCTCAATCTAGGAAGCTTCTGGAAGCACTGATCGATATTGTGCTTGAGATGCTCCAAACGGCTCCTGACGAGGGAGACCGAATCACCAAACTCCTCCATGCCAAAACTCGCATTGTCTTGGTCTTCATCTTGCTCTGCATCTTTGCCACGGCGGTTACTCGGATCTTCAGCTCTGGATCGCAAAGCTCTTTCGGCAAACCTCTTCCAACTTGAAATCTTGCCGTTGCCGGTATAGTCATCGTTGTGTGGTATAGGTTCGTTGAACAGCTTTATTAATACTAATTGCTGGTTTGCTTAATTTTTTGAAGTTTGTATAAGGCACATATCATATAGGAGCTAAACAAAGAGGAGGAAGGGGGCATATTAGTTTAGAGCTAAATATTTTGATCAATATAAAATAGGAAGGAGGCATAAATAGTTACTTGATTGCTTAGTTTTTAATTTCGTTATCTTGGATTTCCTTTGCTATTTGTCACCAATTACCAAAAGTAAAAAAAGAAGCTCAACTAGTATAAAATGATGCAAATTACAATGCTGTACTTATTGAAACAAGTAAAAAAAAAAAAAAAAAATGTTTGTTGGTTGTTATTATCATTTGTTATTTTCTTGGACTTTTGTTTTGAGATAAAACAGCATCAACATTAATAGGAATATTCGGAATTTTAACGGACACTATTTCGCGGAGTATATCCTCCAACCAAACAATGTTTTCATCAATCGAAAGAGGAAATTTCGCAGGTGTAGGAGGAGCTCTATTAGCCTCTCTATAAATATGCTTAAAGACACTTGAAACATCATACAACAACTTCCCAAACTCAGTCAAATCACACTGGTGAGAAAAAAAAAAAAAGGCAATGATGACATCTAAATCATCAGATTTTATATAATGGAGATCAATCCAAACTTTAGTAGCTTTCAACTCAGCTTCTCTCGATGAAAATTCCACCGGTTACCTTTTAGCCATAGCAGCTCTCATTTCAGCAGCACTGTTTCCAATTATGGCTCCAATTCCCATGGTCTGGTCTCCTTTAGAAACTTCAGCATCTACATTTCATTTTAAACTTTTCAATACCCGGAGGAATCAGAACTAGCTCCATTGGTGATAGTCTGAACATTCTGCCACAGCTTTGAACTCTTTAATATAATTAGGAGTCTATCCACTTGAGGAGGATCGACAACTGGTACTGATGGAAAAGTTCCATCTGTGAAGTGGAGTATGCTTGAAAGACCTTTGTTTGTGACAGATCCTTAATTTTCAAGTGAAGCAGAGATAAATCCTAGATCTCTCCGACTCTCTTGCAGCCTAACAAAACTATGTTTCACTGTTTCAAAAGCATCATAACATCCAGGACAGTGAGCAAAAGATAAAATCTTCCTTTTCTGCATCATTTTTGCTGGGGGAGTTAAAATTAACAGAACCTCTTACGCGAAGCTTTCGTTGACGCCGAATCTGAAGCAGATGGAACGGCTACACGAGAAGAGAATGCGCACATTGATGCTGATAAAGCCTTCCGTGTTTTTCATGCCTTTGTAAGTCACCCGAGGGAATAGATAAAATGGCTTCAACATTCAGTAGAAGTAAAAGAGTAAAGCAGCTTTGGTAAATCCCTTTTGACTTTCCCCAGTTATGAATTCAGAAACTGTATAGGATTCTGTGGTATTCCCGGCAGTATATGCTTGAATAAGCGAGGTCTGCGAATCCACGGATCTCACAGTTCCTTTAACTTGATCTCCGGCACCAATACAACATCCAAACCCTTCTGAAAACAAACTCTTTACCCCCATCAAAACACCGTCATTTAAGAGAAGTGTAATAATAACCTTGACCTGCTGATAAAAGATCTCGTAAAATCTTGCTTTTAATGCTGTCTTTCAAACTAATTTGGATTAGTCAACAACTTTCATGCCTGTTTAGCAAGTAAGGACTGATTACAAAGGAACAAAAGACCAAAATCCAATTCCCCCTTCTAACTTTGGCAGAAAAGCTTTGGATTAGTAAGTAAACCTAATTTGGATTAGTCAATAACCGTCACGCCTGCTTAGCAAGTAAGGCCTGAATAAAAGTGAACAAAATACCAAAATCCAAGTCCCCCCCTCAACATTGGACAGCAAAGCCTTCTCCATTGCAACCAGGGAATTCTGCTCCTCCTGTTACCCGAAAAACCAAGCAATGAGAGATTCAATTGATCACATAAAGATTTTGGCAAAGGAAAAACAAGGCTTGACATATGTTGGAGGCATGAATTTTGTACGTCGTTTCAACATGCCACGAAATTAGCATATTGTTCAATATGCCCCCAAAATTTAACTCCCTTTCAAAAGGGGTTCACGTTATTTCATATGTAGAAAAATTAAATCGACTAATGGCTTAGAAGCATTTAAGAACTAACACCAAAGATGAATTCCTGGCTTTTTAAAATGCCATAATTGTTAGAATATAATATTTTTTAAAATAATAAATTAGTAAAAAAAAAAAAAAAAATCAAAGAAAAATATCTATAAAATAAAAACCAAATGTGAAGATTAAAGTGAAAGTTTCACAGCTACATAATTGTGTTCTTGACATGTACCTTTACGGAAAAGAAAAAAAGGGTAATGTATGAAAGATGGAAACTCAGAAATTAATGAATTTTTGTTAAGTGGGTAAGACTTAACTTGGTGAGACCCAACATTTTGTGAGTGATGGGATTATCCCGACGGGATGAAAACCATTTTTGATGCAACTATTGTATGGAGCTCGGGTAATATTGTACTTAGAAAATGGCCAACGGCAAACTTATGATAATATGCCCATCTGACGTAAAAGGAAGGATCAAGAGGAACAGTCCAACCGATGAAGTCTCCTACGACATGTATGGCAGTACCATCTGTTTTTTTGCAAAATTAGTGTGGCTGCTGCCAGTATTACTATAAAAGATGGCGCGCGTGAGCCCGTTTAGTTAGAGAATTTGTTCTCTAATTCGAATCATGATTCACGATTCGCTACAGTATTTTTTCTCATAAAAATTACACATAAATCGAAAATAGTTCTAATCCATGAACCAAACGGGCTAATGATTTTCTCGCATACTATTTTCTACGAATTAAATGGAAACTTTGTGAATGAGGTTGGAACTGTTTCTATTGTTTAAATAGAATCTGAAATCCAAATTCTTGCCGCACGTTAAATAATTAACAATAATTATAATAATCATTTTTCCATTTAGTATTTCATTAAGGCTAGCAGGTAATTCCAGTTGTGTTGTCTCTTGGTGGATCCTTTGAATTTTGTTTGTCTTTTAAATAATAGAAATAACAAGTTATTAATTTATCCTATAATGTACGTCCAATTCAGAATTCAGCTTTAATAGGATTCTCTATATTTTAGAGACCTAACCATGTAAATTTAGTTATAATTTCCTTGTAATCAAAATATAGATCATAATGTTGACGGAATAATTAATACAACTTGTTGACGGTTGGATTTCACCAACAATAAACCCGCCGGATTACCCGCCGGATTACCTTAGGGTTACCCTTTGGATTACCGGCTTGTGGGTTTAATGAAAGTGTGGATTCTAGTTTGATTTTAGTATTTTTGTGTTTGTATGAACTGTATGTAAATGAACAAGAAGAATTTTATAGTGGTTCACTCTATAAAATTAGAGCTACATCCATTGTGTATATTGTATTTCTTTTGTGGAGGTTATAGTTTACAATAAATGTTATCTCTCTCTCTTGCTCTTTCTCCTCTGGAATCTCTGGTTCTCTTCCCTATTGGGGTCCTTCTTCTTTTATACTCGGGCTTCCTTCACTGGGTGGGTTTCCTTCGTAGGTAGGAACACTCAAGTGCTCTCCCTCTCTAGGCCCAGACATAGCCCACTAATTAGTACTGTTCACTCAACCAATTAGTCTTCTATTACGGCTCTGTGACTCTCCGTAATACTTTTCTGTCCCCTGGGGGGGCGGTTTGTAAACATGCAATTAATGCTGTCAGACTTCTCTTACTTTTGCACGTAACCCGTCGTGTCTTAAAGGGACGTTCCCCTCGTCGTCGGCGCTGTTTAACCTTTCTCGCCCTTTCTAGCGATCTTTTCTGCAGTCGAGGATCTTGTCGTGTTAACCCAGGCGGAGTCAACCGTCGACGCCTCATGGGGTCGTCGCCCTAATCATGGACTTCATCTTCGGGCTCTACAGCTGATCTTGAGGGAAACGAAGCGTCGAGGGTTGAGTGCTTGGCGGAAAGCAAGTATAGCCACGTGTCGTGGTGCCGTTGGTCCAGGTGTCTATATTTTCTCACACAACAGCCACCCCCCAGGTCGAGGGCTCCTTTCTTAGGCGGCCTCGAGCTCTAGGTTCGGTTTGTCCTTTCCGTGCTTCGGGTGTGGGAAATCGGTCCCGAGCCTTCGTCCGCAATGATGGCCTGGGTGCTTCGGGTGTGTAACCGTCACGTCGATTGGTTTGGCATAATGATGAGCATCCGTGTTTCAAGAAAACGAATATAGGCCGTTGGATCCGCGTCTTTTCGATTTTTCGCCCTTCCCCTTACCGTCAGATTCGGAGAGTGATCCCTGGCCGTTGGTCTTTTGGGGTTTTCATCCGACGGTTGGGGGTCTTCATTCCCGACTCTTTTAAATACTCTCCATGAACCCGAGGGTCATTTTTTCCTTCTTCGAAACTTCAAAATTTTTTGCCGCTGCTTTGCCAGGACATTCGTACTTTGCCGGAACCCTGTCTGCTGAACTTCCGCCTTCGTCCTTCCCGTCCTCCGTGGTGTACTACGAAACCGTCCCGGATATACTTCTTCACCGGTAAGTTCCTGGATCCTTTCTCTCTTTGCGTACTCACGGGGTTTCCCCCGTTGTGTACCAGGAATATGTAAACATATATGCAGAAAACGAGAATATATATTAGTTAAAGAGACTT